ATATTCTTCCCCATTTCTCCAGCAGCAAACTTCTGACCATTCAGGACCTCCCTCAACCCCAGAGTCCAAGAGCCATATCTCCCTCATAGCACTGACTACATACTACTGCAATGATTTCTGTTTTTCTTTTTCTTTTTTATGCTGCATCTAACTGAACTTTGATACTTTTCTTAGTCCATTCAGGCTGCTGTGAAAATACTATAGATAAGTAGCTCATAAGCAACAGATATCTATGCCTTACACTTCTGGATTCTGAGAAGTCCAAGATCAAGGCACTGGCAGATTCAGTGTCTGGTGAGAGCCTGCTTCCTACACATAGATGGTACCTTCTCACTGAGTCCTCACATGGTGGAATGGTAGATCTAGCTCTCTGGGGGTCTATTTTGTTATTTATTTTATTATTTTATTATTATAATTGCTTTTAGAGACAGGATCTCTGTCACCCAGGCTGAAGTACAGTAGTGCCATCATGGGTCATTGCAGCCTCAAACTCCTGGGCTCAAGAAATCCTCCCACCTCAGCCTTCTGAGTAGCTGGGACTACAGGCATGCACAACACACTCTCTTTTGTAAGAGCACCATTCCCTTTCATGAGTACTCCACCCCCATGAACTAATCACTCCCAAAGACCTGACCTTCTAATATCATCAACTTTGGGGCTAGGTTTCTATGTGTAATTTTTAAGAAGGGTGCAAACGTTCAGACCAAAGTAATGTACACAAATCAGCAAAGTAGTATATGGTGGATAAGACATTTATTTTCTAAATACATATCTCTAGTGGAAGCAGGTTTGAATTCCACTAAGAGGGTAGAATCAGCTGAATAGTGTTCCTCAACATTCATGTCCACTTAGGACCTCAGGATGTCACCTTATTTGGAAACAGGGTCTTTGCAGATATAATTAAAGACTAGAGCTGAATCACCCTGGATTTAGGGTGGGCCCTAAGTCCAATGAGTATTGTATTTACTGGAGAAAGGAGAAGGAGGTGCAGACACACAGAGAGGCAGGTAAGACAGCCATGTGAAGAGAGAGGCAGAGAAGGGAGCGATGCTACCACAAGCCAAGGAATGCCAGAAGCCACCAGAAGTTAGAAACAGCAAGGAAGGATTCTCTCCTAGGTCCTTGCGGAGATCCTGACACTTTTTGATTTCAAACTCCTGATGTCCAAAACTGTGAGAATAAATTTCTGTTGTTTTCAGCCACCAAATATGTGGTCATTTGTTTTGGCTGCCCTAGAAATCTAACCTGAGGGCGGGAGCGGGGTATACCTCTGCCGTGGATCACAAGGGGTCACTTGCAGCAAAATTGGGTGTTTCAAAATTGGGCTCTTCAAAGCGCTGTGCATATGAAGGGTTTCTGGGAGGGCATCTGAGGACAGCCTAACTTCCTCTGGGCTATTTCCCAGCATTGGTCCTGAGGAGCCTCTCTGGACAATGTGTAATGGTTTTACTGCTAACCTCACATTGGCTAATTGCTCCCCTGAGCATGCGCCTCACTTCTCAGAAGTGCGGCATCTCACCGTAGCTGCAAAATCCCAACCAAAAACATGGGGACAAAGCAGACAAGGAGCCAGCTCAGCAGCGGGCCACGTGGAAAGGATGGGCAGGGAACAGATGGCAGGGAGCTGATATGGATTCGCTGGTCAGTTCTTTGATCAAATAATAGAAAATGTGCTCAAACTGAACCTACTCAGGCTCATCCACACAAATCTTAGTTTAATTAAAAAGGAAAATATAATTCTGGGGAATGCTTCTCCTCGACACACAAGATAATATAATGGGAAAAAAGACAACAGGGAAAACAATTCGTACTCTTGTGGTCACAGAACTAAACAGTGTTTTAGTATTAAATAATACTAAAAAATGACTAAATACATTCCTCCATATTTCTCAAAGCAGAAATTACCTATGGTAAAAATTCAAAATGTATTTTTTACAAAGTCACTTTTCTGGCCTCTTTGACAATTCTATTAAGCCAGTTCTGTTTCATATAGAACAAATAATCATTGTCCTGTATGCTGCTGGTATTCAAACGTGTCTAAGGTGGTTCATTGTTCAAGATCTCCTCTCTTTATTTCTCTCTACGCCCTACCCTGTTTTCCCATCCCTTTCCCCTGACTCACTCCTTTCCCTCCTATCCCTATTCAACAAAGCTTGGGGAAAGGACACCACACGGCAATAAGTTTTGTGCAGCTTGGAAGCACTCCCTAAAGCCCTGTTTGCTCAGTGGGAAGTAGGGCAAAAACTAAAGTGTCCGTCCTTCTGCTGCAGGACTGTGCCTGTTACACTGTCCTACAGAGTGGTGAGTCTTCATGCGGCTGCACAGCAGAATCACTGGGGAGCTTTTAAAATCCCGGACGCTCAGTCCACATCGCAGATAAATTAAACCACGTGGGAACTCAGCACTGGTATTTTAAAAACCCTTCGGCAAGCTCTCCAAGTGCCCTCATCTCCTCTATGAATTCTGTTAGAACAAAGCCCACCTGACTTACATCTCCTTCCAGAAAACTTTACCACTTGAGTCTGAAATTGTTTTCCTGTTTTCTCTGCCATCTCACCTGAGCTGTCATCTGGCCCACTTTCAATACTCCAATCTGGCCACACATGGCTTTCTCAGAGAGGTTACCTGCCCGCCGTATTTAGAGCAGCCCCCAGGCCTTGTCTTGGCCCCTCTCTCATGCTATCTTGCTTTCCCTTCTCATAGGGCTATCTGAAACTATTTGTCTTCTGGTTTAACTTATTTCCCAAACTCTATGACATCTGTTGCCTTGTCTAATTATTTTCAGCCATGAGAATGGCTCTGGGAACATAGTAGGACCCCAGTAAATATACCTTGATTGGATGAGTGAATGCATGAATGAATGTCGACCTTGTTTTCTCTATTAAATTGCATGCCCTGGAGGTCATTTGTATATCATCTATTTAAAACCCTTCTAAGCCTTTACAATTGTATATTAAAGTTAACAAAGAAGTGCCACATATACTGTTTCAAGTGTCTCTCACAAAAACATTTGAGAGAAAACATCAGTTGTTATAATGCCATTTTAATAGATAGCAAAATGAAGGGTCCAAAAAGTTTTTTTTTTAAATGCAAAACTCTACAGAGTCACACAAATAATAAGTGGTGTGAGACATCAGCTCTCTGAGGGTGTCATGCAGCCATGTGGCCATGTCTTCCATCCCTGCCCCCTGAGAGGCACACACCCTCATAATGGGAGCCTGACTGCTTTGATAAGCTACAGATGCTGAGGGAAGGCATGGTGTTGGCAGCATGTGTGTCTTTCTGTCCAAACAGGAAACTGATGTCTGTTGACAGTGTTTCCAGGGACCATGCCAGTGAAGAGAGGAGGATCACTTATGAACAGATGAGCAGGGGTGAAGAGTGTCAGCATGTGCTCACCCTGTCATATCCTGTGTGGTCACAAGACACCAGCCTCCTAACACATCCAAAATCTTATTTACTAAGAAGCCGAACATGAAGACTGCACTCCCTCTGGATTTTTCTCTCTATGTAGAATTATCCAGAAGAATAGATCTAGACTCAAGCATAAATTATGTCACTTGTATTTTGCTACCAGTTTTTTATAATTACATTAAACTATATTCAAGAGTGAGTGCAACTACAGTTCCACAGTATCAACCATACCCAGACTTCCGGCAAATTAAAGGAAGCAGTATGAGAGGCATTTCCTGGCACTGCATACTCCATATTTTCTTATTTTTTTTTCACATTCCTTTTAACTTCCTTTAGTTGAGTATTATACCATAAAGGGCTCTGGGAAGAAATCTTGGCAAAGGAGTTAACATCCTTCTAAAGGACTTTATAAATGACCTGAAAATATTTTCTGTTTCATCCTAGAGACCATCCAAACCTTAAGCAGGTTAACGCTGCATTCATTTTGCAACTGTACCATCACAACTGTACCATCCCAGGCCATTTGGTATTATTTACCCGCATCCACATGGCATGAATATTTTGAGCATCAAAGAACCCAAAATTATTTAAACAATTAAATAGGAAGCCAAAGAATCCTTTTTGCCTTTATCCAAGTAGTAGGCAACACATGAAAATAAATATTTATGGAGAACCAAAATCTCATCCATCTTAATTGTTATATTCCAAATGAAAGAATGCCATAACTGAGGAATGTATTAGTTTGAATCCCAAACAGATGGTGGGTGAAAAGCAGAGTCTGAGAGAATGGTAAGATAGTCACATGGTTCTTATGAGATGTAGTCGGATCTTTGTCTAGTCTGCTATGCAAAACCAGACACAAAGTCTGCTATGAAGGTGAGTCAGAAATGATAGGCATGGTGTCCATGAGATTAGGTACAAAATCTAGGAGTCCCGATGAGTCAGAACACAGTGTCAAGTTCACTTACTGCAAAGAAAGGTGAAATGGAGGCAATGCAAGCTTATGGAGCTAAGTTCAAGGTCACTGAGAAGGGTTTTGCTGCCAGTCCAGCATGTGACTTGTTGGGTCATACAGCTGGCTAGTGACTGAACCCAGACTAACTCAGGGTCTACTCACCTCTATCCTAACTTGGGCAATGTGTTCCTTTGCCATTTTAAACATGTAGTCATCTATACACATACCCAGTATCTAGATAATAGTTATCTCATTCTCAAAATACAAATCTGACTGTTGACAGTTGTCATTTTAATACTTTGCCAATAGGAATGACTTTGAATAAAACAGTTTTGGATGTGTGCTTATTTTCTCATCTTCTGTCAGTAGATAAGTAAACATGATATGAGGTGCAGAAGGGCACATGGAAGGATGCTAAAGTATCTGTCTTATTCATGGAAAAATTTGAATTTCAGTAAATTCAGTTACATAAATCTTGGCATTTTAGCAATGACCCAATGGATGGGAATGAAGCAACCTTAACTTGGCATTTCTATGACATCATTTTGCTAACCTCATAAAACAATTATGACATAGAGAGTTCTGCAAAGTGGCTTTTTCTGTCTGAAACTCATCAATCACACAAGGAGAGGTTGGGTAGGGGGAAGAGAGACATATTGCCCCCCCAGGATGTCTCCCACCATTTTCTTATTTTTTCTAAATCATCACAAGTGAGTATACTTCCTGTTCTTTACACATGTTATTCCCATCTTAACTCAGTTTCTGCCCCTGCTGTTCCTCCTACCTGGAATGTCCTTTAAAAAAAATATTATATATATATAAAATCTGGCTACACTACTCATCTCTGCAGACACTCACTAGGATTACTTATTTCATAAAGCCATGTTTGCACCCAAATTGAGCAAATGTCATCTTCCTCTGATTCTAAGACACTCTATCCCTTCTCCCAACATATTTGTCACAGTTAACACAAATGCTTAGTTAGGGGTTGCAGGTTTTTTCTGTAAGGGGTTAGACGATAAATATTTCAGGCTTTGTGGGCCATGTGCTCTCTGTAGCAACTATTCAACTTTGCCATTATGGCAAGAAAGTAACCATATGTAAACAAATGAGCATGGCTATGATCTAATAAACCTTTATTTGCAAAAACAGAAGGCAGGCCTAGCCCTAGTTTTCTGACAACTAGCTTAGCCCAGAGATACATGGAGGTAAAATCAATAAATATTAGATTGATTAATCATGATAAACAACATCATTTATGAAAACATAATGTATATGTTGTCTATGCTGTGACTATAGAGTATCTGCATTCATTTTGCAACTATGGCACAATGACCAGCCCGATTAAGTTCTGTGTATCCTAAGAGGGGCATCACAGGTTCTGATCCGCTATGTGACTCTGCAGGCTACACAATGGGATAGCACTCTGCCTCATTGATTTTTTATTAGAAAGAACATCTGTTGAGGCAATAATTCTAGGAAGATTATAGCTGATAACCAGAGCAATTGTTTCCCATAAAAGTATCTGGTTTTCCTGTTTATATTGAATAAAATCAGGTAAGTAACTGCTAAAGTTGTATACTACAATCTGCACTGTAATTTCAGTGTTTTAATAGAAATAAATATATAATCACAGTAGCAAAATTGTCAGAGCTGTCACACATTTCAATTTTGAGCTTACTTAAAGAAATTGGAATTAAATCCAACTCCAATTTTCTATTTTCGTTTCAAATAGATTTTGACAATATTGGTTGCAGCCTTTACTAGGAAGTTATCGTAGCCAAAGAATTTCACTGGTTTTCAATTTACAACATGAAAATCATGCAAAACATAATGAAAGTTGTCTATTTATTTGGATCGATTCCTATCTTTGATACAAAATGTTCTGTTTCCATAGATAAAGATTGTTTATTTAGAACAGGAAAAAAAAATACTCTCTCTTAATTGGTAGTAATACAGTTTTCTGAACTATTGGTTAGAAAAACTCCAGTTAATTAATAAATACTATGTTTATCATTTTCCATGAATTATTTTCTACCTTCTCTTAAAAATAAACAAAACTAATAAATTCAGCTTCTGGAGTCTTCTTTATTCTCTGATCTGTTGAATATAAACATAGCAAGATGGAAGGCAAGATCAAACACAAGAGGAGAAATGAGGAACATAAATATCCACTGCAAAGGGGAGTCCCTGAAAAATCAACTTACATGAGATCCTCTCTTCTTTTTAGCAAGGCTCTTTTCCATTCCCTTTAAGAATTTCCTTTCATATATGCAGATTATGTCATTAGCTTAATAAATGCTGCTTCATCATATGACAGAAAGATTTAATACTGGATTTAACTAGGACCTTCAAGTAGACCACGATTCTGAGCACCTGCACCTTTGGCTATATTTATGAGAATACATGATGTCCCAACGAAGAGAAATCCAAGTGCATCATGAAGATAGATAAAGGATGCCAGAGTTGCCCTATTTAATTCTCCCTGTTTCCCAATCTTCTCTTATCAGTACTATCCTTAATAACATCATAACAAATAACAATTACATTCCTGAGGTGGTGTGAAATGTACGATACATGTACAGTTTAAGATACCATAATGAGTACAAAGAAAGCAAATGATAAACAGGCTCTTCTATTTCTATATCTATTTACAATTATGGGCTATTGCATGGTAATAAGCATATACAAGCCACAACAGCAGGTGTTGCCAGGTCAAAGCATGCTCAAAGATGCATGGAAGCCTCCCTGGTGGTACACAGGCTTATTCTCGTCATTTATATCCATAACATGAGAAAGTCCAGGCCTTTGCTTCTGATATGATTCACCAATTCATTTATATTTCTCCTTATTTGATGCACACTAAAAGCAGGACTATTCCTCTTGGATAAGAAATAGTACATAAGTTCATTTTATAGGGTAATTTATTTATCAACTTTGGCTACGGTTTATAAAAACTAGGTTTCAAATGGCATACCTCAGTGCGTGAGTACTACAGGGTCCTCTAACGCTGGCAGAAATAGTCAATCAATCTCTCAGAAAGCTCACGATAGAGTAATCTGAATCCCACTTGCTTTCTCCAAGTACTACTAGAAGAACACATAGGGGTTCCCTTGTCACCTGAACACTAGCACACTTCCTGCAGCAGTTAACCTAAAATAAGATAATTAGGCCACGAAGGATTTTAAAATATAATCAGAATCACTATATATAGTATGACGCTTAATTGAAAATGTTTGAAGGACTTCCAATTTTTTTAAGCTTTCTCTTTGTTCCAAATAAATAACCTCTCTGTAAATAGGAATAAAAAAGGTAATGATTCAGTTGTCCAAAATTAGAGTAAAATACACACAGGCCAAAAAAAAAAAAAAAAGAAAGAAAGAAAGAAAACATTCATCATGAAAAGTTCTCTGAAATATAAAACTGGAAATTAAAGATGGGCTTTGTCAACAAAAGGGAAAGATAAATTGTGACTTCATTGAAAAATATCCAGATGGTGAGAATTTGGCATGCTATTATTCTTTGAAATACGTTCCTAGGTAAGGGAATTGAAACAATTTGATTAATTCATTAATTAAAGTATGCTAATTGATAAAAACGAGGACATGGTTTCTATTTTCTAGCAGTTACAATATTAAATGATGAGCCTCCATCTACCATTCTTTCTCCATTTCACACCTTCCCTTATGGGGGTGTATGGTTACGTGTTTAAGGAACTAAAACCTATGCAATATCTCTTAGAACAAGTCTAATAAAAGAAAACCAAAGGGCAAACAGGACAGACAAGGATACTGCACATGGGAGTGTGCAAACAGAAAGATGACTTACACGCAAGGACAAATGATGATCAAAGAAGGCAAATGTTAAAACACAAGCCTCTGGATAATAATGCCTGCAGATAAATCATTTGTTTGATGATTCTAGAAGTCAATGAAAGAAGTTTGATAAATGGCAAAAGTTTGTTAACACCGACAGCAAAATACATTGAGAAGAGCTAACAGATTATTTAAAATGTCACTGGTGGTGGGTGAAGAGGACTTTTCTTATGCCCCGGGCAGAAGAGTATAGCTGTATAATTTATTTTAGAGATTATAAATTGTTTTGACTTTTTTCCCTTCAAAATATTTCACCAATTTTTTTATTTAGATCTACATATTCTGCTATGAGAATATAAATCATGGCATTTAGAACTTGAATAAAATAAGAGGACATATATCTAATAAAAAAGGATTGATTGAATTATTTTGCTACAACCATATAATGGAATACTATGCAGCCATGTCAATGATTCTGAAGAATTATATTTGTAACAGGAAATATGTTAAATATATATTGTTCAATAAATTGCCATGCAACAAGAACTTGTAAGTTATCCAAAACAATAACCCTGGAGTCAGAGAACATTATTAATCTTCTTTATTAAACTTGTACCACTGGAATTACGTAAAATGGCAAACTGTTCAAATATCCAATTATTTTTTCTGCAAAAAGAATAATAATTATACATCTTCCTACTTTGTTGTATTTTTAGGAAATTTAAAAAATGTATTCAATGTTCTTAGCATTTTACCTGTTCAATAAGTGCACATAAATGCTGTTGACAGAATAACATAAGTACATCATTTTGTAAAATATGTGCATGTTCATTTTGGTTTAGACATTGATACTGACTGCATAAACATATAGTCATAAACCTCAACTATTTATATGCTTATCTCATTAGGTATAAGTGTGATTTTTGTTGTATTCGTTTATCTTGGTTTAACCATATTCCCTAAATTTTGTATGGGGAATTGAGTTTCAGTCAGGTGTTCTCCTGCAACAACACCTCCTTCCAAAATCTCACTTGTTTAAAACAACAGGAATTTCTTTCTCACTCATATTATAGAACCTTGGTGAATCATAGTTTTTGCTTCTCGTCCTCATTTAGAGACCTAGTCTAATGGGTCAGAGACCATCTCCAGCACTGCAAATCCTCATGCCTGAAAGAGAATGGCAGATTTGTCACTGCCTCTTACAGCTTCTGCTCAGATGTGACACAAATGAATTTTACCACCTTTTCTTTAACCAAAGTCAATCTCATGCTCAAGAGAACATTAATAATAATAATAATGTATTTTTAAGTCAGGAAGAGTGTAAAACTAATGTTTAGTCTATCATAATCCATTATAAGTTTTGAGCAGATCACTAGGTGACTAGAGAAAGTGCTTTCCCACCCTTACTCCCAGGAACCAAAATTAGGATGAATGTCTTTAAATCTATATTGGCTATATGAGATACATCTAGTTACATGAAAATATATCTACAGGCAATATGGTATAGAAACCAAGGAATCGTAGGATACAGAATTTAAGATGCCAACTAAGTTATTCTACCTTCAAGACATAATGATCACACTTAGTCACCACTAGCAGAAACAATCTAACTTAATTTCTGGTTAAAAAAAAAATGCCTTCATCTTCACCTGGTCCCTGACGAACTTCAGTTTTTCCCAGCTGGTGAGCTGATGAGGCTCTCAGGCTTGAGAAACTGATGGGTCTTGTAATTGCTGTCCTAACTCATGTAACCACAGCTGCGGTTTTCATTCATAAATTGCAAAATGAACTCTAAAAGTTTTCATACTGGTCATTTGCTTCAAAACAATCAGTGCCAATGAATTTGCAAATGTAGCACTAAGAGAAAGAAAGGAGTCCCTGACCTTGACCAAAAGCATTGAACTAACTCATAAATTCTTGGATTTCATTTTCAAAAATCTTACACATTGTCATGATTCCCTGTGAAATCACTTCGCTCATATAAGGAAATGTATGAAGCTTATTTAGTTTTAAAGTACTTCTAGAGACTGAAATGAATTAAAAATAATTTAAAAAATCATAATTCTGTACAGTTTTCAATAACTTTTTAACAAAATTAACTTTAAATATACTCCATTGCTTAAAAAAATGGTAGCTAAATAAGTCAGTAAATCTCGAGAAGGACAGGAAATACGCATGTTTGAGGAACAAACTACTGGAGATTGTTAAAGATCAATATATTAAGTCCACAATAATTTTCTTTCACTTGTTCTACATATTAAAAAATTTTAGGCCGGGCACAGTGGCTCACATCTGTAATCCCAGCACTTTTGGGGGCTGAGGTGGGTGGATCAAGAGATCAGGAGATCTAGACCATCCTGGCCAACATGGTGAAACCCTGTCTCTACTAAAAATACAAAAATTAGCTGGGCGTGGTGGCACATGCCTGTAATCCCAGCTACTCAGGAGGCTGAGGCAGGAGAATCGTTTGAACCAGGGAGTCAGAGGTTTCAGTAAGCCGAGATCTTGCCACTGCACTCCAGCCTGGTGACAGGGGGCAGACTCTGTCTCAAAAAAAAAAAAAAAAAAAGTAGAGACAAATGAAAAACTATTCATGCAAGTATATACTAAGAGTGATTTTCTCTGTTTGAGAGATATTTTGTATGCTTTTCTTATTTTTCCATTATATGATTTGACATTTTTAGCTTCAAAATATAAAAGCATTTGTTAAAAAGTATACATTTTGTTCCTTTTTTTGTTTTAAAATATAAATACATATCCCTATTGTTTCTGTTCTATGTACTCCTACCAGTGACGTAACAATTTGGAGTTTAAATAATTTTACTGAATGTGAGCCCTTTAACTTAAATAATGTTTTAAAGATATCAGACCTCCCTTTGCTTTGTTTACCACTTTAAGATAACAGTAAAAATCACTGTACCTAAACTTCTCTAACATAAAGGTAACTGAAAAAGTATCCTCAAGATCAAAAATCTATTTGTGAAATAAATTCATTTTCTTTCCCTCCCATAGATTTCCATTTGAAATGGAAAAGTCCCCAGGATTATAATACATTTTTGAAAAGACACACAGATTTTTTTAAAGACACTAATTAGCCTTCCTTTTTTTTTTTTTTTTTTTTTTACATGGCTGGGCCCAATAGATAAAGCTTTTTATAAATGTAAAATAATAATGTAAAGTTATGTTTGCCATAGATTACAAGTGTTGGTAAAAACAGTAGTCTGAGGGATAGAAATTTTAATCTGTTACATTAAAAGCATGATGGCTTATGCAGCATTCTAATGAGAATATTATGAATGCAGATAGAACAATGTTTCTTGTCTGAGATTGCTGGTGAAACATAGGGCTAGTCAAAAATACTTCTGAAATAAATAAAAATATCCTACCCACATCCTACTTCTCAACTTTTCTACTTACAATTGGGGGAAAATACTGGATATGAGAAAATACCTATGCTACAAATGATGTGGGAGACTTCACAGAGTTTTCTTTCTCCAGAATACTCTAAAGAATCAAAAAGACAGACAATACCAAGAAATGGTGAGGATGTAGATGTAGAGAAACTGGGACCTCCACACACTGTTGGTGGAATGTCAAATGGTATCGCCATTTTGAAGACAGTCTTGCACTACCTCAAAAGGTAAAACATAGAGTCACTCTATGATCCAGCAATTCCACTCACAGATCTAGACCCCAAAGAAATTAAAACACATGTCCACCCAAAAACTTGCACGTGAATGTTTATAGCAGCATTATTCACAATGCCCAAAAAGTTGAAACCCCATCTCCGAATGTCCATTAACTGACGGAGGGTTAAATAACTGTGGTGTATCCATACAACAGGATATAATTTAGCCATAAAAAGGAATGAGACTGATATATGCTACAACTTTGATAAAACTTGCAAACACTGATGCTAAGTGGAGAACAGCCACATGCAAGAAGATCACATATTTTATGATTCCATTTATATTTAATATTCAGAATAGACAAGTCCACAGAGACAGAGAGCCAATTGGTGGTTTCTAGGAGTTCTGGGACAAGAGAATGTGGAGTGCCTGCCATAAGGTAACAGTATTTTAGGGTGATAAACATTTTTTTGTAATTGGACAGTGGTAATGGCTGCATAATTATGTTAATATGTTAAAAATACTGAGTGGTATGTGAATTTTATGATACGTGAATGACATCCCTATTAAAAAGTACATTTTTAAACAAGAAAAATGCAACATAAAATTAAATTTCAGATCCAACATTCAAGTGAAGAAAGTCTATTTCCTCTTTTTGGAACAAAATTGGTAATAATGTCAATCGCCAGTTCTTCAAAAGCATATTTCATATTAACTTTGCTATTCTCATGTGAGAAGTGAAATTGTATTTCTTATTTTGATAAATCAAGAGGAATGGAACCCATGTTCTTCTAAATGAATTTGTCCTTCTCCTCTAATTTGTTCTAATCTGATACCAAGAACACACCTGAGGCTACATGCCTTCCTTCCAAAATGACAAAAGCTTATTCGTAACTATTTGTTTATACAGTGAATTTCCAAAAGCCAACACTGTCCTGAAAATAATGTTACTGGGTTTCATAAATGTCAGTGGACAATTAGGTGGTCTCATTCGGAAAGCTGAAAGCAAACATCTAAACTGTGTTTCTTTTTTTAATGTAACACTGAACTGAACTAAACTGAAATTGAACATACCTCAAGGCTCAAGTAGACTGACAGTGAGTGAGAGTGTCTGTGTGTGAAAGATATATATAGAGAGAAAGAGAAATATACTTCTCTTTGTACTTCCATTCATGGAAATTGGATTTATTATTAGTTCTAAAAAGACTAATAGTCCCTCATTTGGGGATCTCAGCTGTTTTTAAAATTAAGATGTGTATGCACTAAATTCATTTGAATCATGATGGACAGGCTTTGGCAAGCCCTAGAGACCTCACTTACCCCTCCCAGAGCAAGGCAGATCAGAGCTTCCCTGGCACCTCCTGATGCTCTCCTCAGCTGACAGCATGCAGGACTGTGGGTGCTCACACTTCTTCCCATGCCAGCCTGCTTTGCAGTCACATCTTCCGCAATTACACTGCCCGTGACCTTCACAGTGACAATAGCAAAAAATAAAAAAAGTATATAAAGTTAATGAAGTCGGAATTGGTTTTCATTCTAACAGCAAATGTCACAAATGAGTCAGGATCTTGATGAACACAATATAACACATTAAGGCAAAGGCACATTTTTCTCTAATTCTTAAATAACTGATTTACATGAATTGATCTTGAGGGGCAAGAAAAGCAACCACTACAGATAAGATAAACAGTTTAGTAAGGCTGTAAACTTGAATCTGTCAAAATCCAGGTGCATGTGATTGTATTGGTCTGCTGGGGACTAAAAGGAGTATCTGGGCTGCGTGCAGTGGCTCACACCTGTAATCTCAGCACTCTGACAGGCCAAGGCGGGTGGATCATGAGATCAGGAGTTCGAGACCAGCCTAACCATCATAGTAAAACTCTGTCTCTACCAAAAATACAAAAATTAGCCAGGGTGGCGTGCACCTGTAATGCCAGCTACTCAGGAGGCTGACGCAGAAGAATTTCTTGAACCCAGGAGGTGGAGGTCGCAATGAGGCAAGGTCACACCATTGCACTCCAGCCTAAGCAACAGAGCAAGATTCCATCTTCAAAAAAAAAAAAAAGGAATATAAGGAATATTTGGTGGATTTGGCAATTAATTCACATTTGCATGGAAGGGAGACTTAGGAAAGGGCAAATAATATATTTTTGAAGCAGGATTTTTTTCTTTTTTTTTTGCTTTTTAGACTCTATTTCTTATATACAAATGCTCCTTTCTCGGTAATTAATGCAATAAGTGAAATTAAAATCAGTATGGATGTAGAAAAATTGACATTAACAGCCAAGTAGACCTAATTAACATTTACAGAGCATTCTATCAAACAATATGTGAGACAGTACATATTCTTTTCTTTTAAGACTTAGGGGTTTTTTTAAGAGCAGTTTTAGGTGCACAGCAAAATTGAGAGAGGTGCAGAGATACTCCATATGCCTCTCTCTCCCTCACGTGTATAGACTTCTTCATTATCAACAATCCCTACCAGAGCTGTACACTTGTTATAATGACTACATTGACACATCACTATTATCCAAAGTCAGTTCACATTAGGGTACACTCTTAGGGAACACTGCATGAGTATGAGTAAAAGTATAGTGACATGAACTCACCACTGTAGTATCACACAGATATTTTCACTGCCCTAACAATCCTGTTTTCTGCCTAGTCATCTGTCCTTCTCTCACACCTTTCCCCAATCTCTGGTAAATTGATCTTTTCACTGTCTTCCATAATTTTGCCTTTTCCTTAATTTTATACAGTTGGAGTCATACAGTACATGTAGTCATTTCAGTTTTGGGTTTTTCAGTTGGTAATATGCATCTGAAATTCCTCTATGGATAAATAAACTGTGGTACATCCAAAGAATGGAATATTATACAGAGTGGGATTGTTTTTAATGAACCATTGAATGGATCTCTGTTACTAAGGTCTCACAACCACAGTCAAATTGGCGGCCACAAACTGACAAAAAGCATGAAATCTAGAATTCAGAAGAGGTCCCTCTTTTTTTCTCCCAGATTTATTGAGGTATAAGTGACAAAAAAAATGTAGATCCTTGAAGTATGTAACATGATGGTTTGATATGCATATGCATTGTAAAATGATTACCACAATCATGATAATAAACACATCCACCATCTCACAGTTACCTTTGTGTGTGTGTCTGTGTGCAGTGAGAATAAGATCTACTCTTTTCATACATTTCAAGTAGACAATATTATAAACTATAGTAACCATGCTGTACATTAGATCTCCAGAACATATTCGTCTTACAACTTTGAAAGTTTGTAAGCTTTGATCAAAGTCTCCCCATTTCTCCTACCCCTCAACCCTGGGTAACCACCCTTCCACTCTTTCTAAGAGTTTGACTTTTTCAGATTCCACATATGAGTGAGATTATGCAGTGTTTTTTGTTTATGACTGGCTTATTTTACTTAACAAAATGTGCTCCAGGTTTGTCCCTGTTGTGGCAAATGAAACGATTTCCTTCTTTTTAAGGGATGAATACTATTCCATTGGAGATATATATATATATATATATATATATCAATGTATCTTTTGTCTTCTTGGTAACAGTCATCCTAACAGGTGTGAGGTGATAACTCATTGTGGTTTTGATTTACATTTACCTGATTCATGATATTAAGCATTTTTTCATATACCCACTGGTCATTTGCATATTTTCTTTGAAAAAATATCTTCAGGTCATTTGTCCATTTTTAAATTTTTAATCTGTAATTATCACTTTGCTATTGAGTGTATGAATTAGATATAGTTTCAATGTTTGACCTCTCCAAATCTCATGTGGAAATGCAATCCCCAGTATTAGAGATGGGGCCTGGTGGGAGGTGTTTGGACTGTGGGGGCAGATCCCTCATGAATAGCTTAATGCCATCCTTTTGGTGATGAGAGTGTTCTTGCTCTGGTAGTTCATATGAGATCTGGTTGTTTAAAAGAGGTGGCACCTCCTCCCACCCTTTTTTGTTCTGTCTTCTCTCTTGCCATGTGACACCCCAGCTCTGCCTCCACCTTCTGCCATGATCAGAAGTTTCCTGAGATCTCACCAGGAACATGCTTCCTGTACAGACTATGGAAACGTGTGCCAACATAGACTTTTTTTTTTTTTAAGATAGAGTCTCACTCTATCTCCCAGACGGGAGTTCAGTGGCATAATCTCGGATCACTGCAACCTCCACCTCCCAGGTTCAAGTGATTCTCATGTCTCACTCTCCCCAGTACCTGGGACTACAGGTGTGTGCCACCACACCCAGCCAATTTTTTTAATTTTGGTAGAGATGGGGTTTTACCACATTGGCCAAGCTTGTCCACAACTCCTGGCGTCAAGTGATTTGTTCACCTTGGCCTCCAAAAGTGCTGGGATTATAGGCATCAGCCACCATGTGCCTGGTCCCAAACAAATTCATTTTCTTTATAAATTACCCAGCCTCAGGTATTTCTTTGTAGTAATGCAAAAATGAACTAGAACTCACATATTTTGAATATTACCCCCTTATTGGATATATGGTTTGCAAATATTTTCTATCATTCCATAAATTGCCTTTTCATTTTTGTTATTTCCTCTGCTGCTGTAAAAACCTTTTGGTCCAATCCAGTCCCATTCATTTATTTTTGCTTTTGTCATCTGTGTTCTGGTGTCAAATCCAAAAAATCATTGCCAAGACTAATGTCATGGAACTTTTCTCCTATGTTTCTGCAAGTACTTTTAAAATTTCAGATTTTACATGTAACTCTTTAATTCATTTTCAGTTGATTTTTATAAACATTGCAAGACTCTAATTTCTTTCTTCTGCAATGTGGACATCCAGTTGTCCCAATATCATTTATTGAAAAAACTGTTATTTTCCCTTTGTGTGTTCTTGGCATCTTTGTCTAAAGTCAATTGGCTGTAAATGTATAGGTTTATTTCTATGCTGTCTATTCTGTTCCATTGGTCTATGTGTCTGTTTTTATGTTAATACCATACTGTTTTAATTACTATATTTTGTAATATAATTTGAAATCAAGTGCTATGGTGCCCTCAGATTTGTTCTTGCTGAAGATTGTTTTAGTTATTTGGGGTATATTGTCGTTCTATGTGAATTTTAAAAATACTATCTTTTTCTCCAGTGTGAATCTGTATTCTTAGCACTTTTGTTGAAAATCAGTTGGCTGTTAGCCATGGGACTTTTGACAGGGATCACAATAAATCTGTAGATCACCTGAGGTAGTATAAACATTTTGACAATATTTATTTTTCCAATCCATGAAAATAAGATACCTTTCCATTTATTTGTGTCTTCAATTTCTCTCATTAATGTTTTATAGATTTTGATGCAGTGATCTTTCACCTCCTTGGTTAATTTTATTCCTAAGTATATTATTTTTGACATGACTGCAGATGAGATTGTTTCCTTAATTTCTGTTTTGGTTTCTTCACTGAAGCAGAATATTTTCTTATGGAGTCTCCACACTTCATTTTGATGCACTCTTTAGCAAATAATACATGCTTAGCCTGGAGACCCTTAGAGTAAAACCAATAACTTACATGGAGTTTACAATCCTTGAAGATTAGCCTAGTGTATACAAAAAAAAAGGACAGGAAAGATATTAACTTTTTTGACACATGAATATACAGTTTGCAAAGAATTGTGAGAAACAGTGGTATGGTTTAGCAAAAATCAACCTACATTATCAATAAATGGGTTCAAATCCTGGTTCTGCTGCATACAGAGTAAGGCTGGTCAAATGACAACCTCTGAGTTTCAGTTTCTTCATTTTAAAAAGTAAGCAAATACATTATCAATCCACATTTACTGGGAAGTACATTGCATATTTTACATGCTACATAAAAAGGAGCTACTGTTATTTTTATTCATCAGATCCCACATTATAAGTGAGTAGAGAAAGCATAGTCAATTGAGCTTTTCTTAATTCCTAATAAACATGAAGCTACTCATCACTGCAGATGCAGAATGAAGATTTCTATAATTGCTATAAAAATGCATGAAGAATTTTAAAGTGGAATTGCACTTTTTAAAAGTACATAGAAATGCTAATGGATGAAAACCCATGCTATTTTATCTTTAGCATATGATATTAATGTATATCATGCAATATGAAAATTGACCTCCAGTGAAGACTAGACCCTTTTATTAATATTCCCTGAGGTTTGTGGGTCCATCTTCTGAGTTTGAAGAAACTGGACAATGCACATATGTAGAAGCTTTTCACCATTTTCTTAATTTAAAAAAATTGCAAAATCATAGATGAAAGCAGAATGAGACATTAGGAATCACTGAATTTAAATCTCTCATCTAACCCCAAATTCAGTTCGATTCAGTTGCTCATTTGTTGAACATCTGCTATGTTTGAGTCTATTTGACAAATTGTTGCCATAATTATCTGCCCTAGACCTCAGTTGAAAGGAAAAGAAAATTGCTATTATTAACAAACAGACCTGACATATGAATGTGATTATTTAGACCTTACAACATGGGAATTTTTATAATAGTTTATACTAATTAACAATTATATTTCATAGATTGTTGGGTTCTATGGCTTTTGCCATTTATTCACCCAGTTTAAGAACTTCCCACTGGGTATAGTGGCTCATGCCTGTAATCCCAGCACTTTGGGAGGCCGACGCAGGCAGATCACCTGAGGTCAGGAGTTCAAGACCAGCCTGGCCAATATGGTGAAACCCCATCTCTACTAAAAATACAAAAATTAGCTGGGCATGGTGGCACATGCCTGTAGTTCTAGCTACTTGGGAGGCTGAGGCAGGAGAATTGCTTGAACCCAGGAGGCGGAGGTGGCAGTGAGTCAAGATTGCACCACTGCTCTCCAGCCTGGGTGACAGAGGGAGACTCTATCTCAAAAGAAAAAAAAAGGTTCTATCTTTCCAACCCTCATGTAAGGTTAAGGACAAACATTGCAAACTAATCTACATTGGAAATGCATATATAAATAATGGTTTTAACACATAAATCTTAAACATTTAAAGTACAATCAATTCTTTTGTTGTATAGGAGCCAATGGCTTTGAAATTCTTGGAGACAAGTGGTTTTATTTCAGAGACAGTTAGATCTGCTGTGAGGAAACTGGGCAAAGTACAGAATATGCTGACATGTGTGAGAGACTTGTTGACACTCTAACAATAACATTGATTGTTGACACTTCAACAGTAACATTGAAAACCAGATTGAAGAGGGGGGAAAAGTTTATCTACTCTTGAACATTTAATGGCTGTAAAGGTTAGAACAATACATCTAGCAGATGTGGACACCAGGAAGTCCCTAACTACCCAAGAGAATGTCATCTGCCACTGTGGCCCACCAGAATTCACAGGCAGTGGCATGCCCACAGGAGAAATCTCCCTTACTGGAGAGGGAGAATACAGGACAGACCTTGGGGCAAAGGCAGGTACAGAGAGAGACCCATGACTGAGGGGAGAACGTTCTTACGTTGCATAGTTGGAACGCATGCTTAAAAGCAATTATTATTTTCTATCTGAAGTTCATTCACATGTTGACATTTTTAGAAAATTGTGGCAGAATAAAATCCTAAAGACAGAATTTATTAGAAAGAGATTCTTAAAGTTAGAATCTGATCCAATAGATATCAAAAGGTCAGATTAGCTGTGGAAGGCTTAATTTTTTTAAAAAGTTCAGATGCTCTAGACCTGCAGGAAGAAATCTCTGGCAGTCTTCTACCTTTATTCTCCCATATGCATGTTCTGTTTTCTCGCCATTTTGTTTTTCTCAGTCAGTTTATAATTCTCTAAACCTTTTTCCCCTAACATAATTCTATTATTGCAGCTTTATTTTTATATCCCATTGCTATTTCTGATGCTCATCGACAAACATAAGGGGGAAAATAGAGCCTGTAAGCTCCACACCTCTTTTCCTGTGCACTGAATTCAGCATCATGAACATTCTCCAGAATCATGCCTCTAAATTTGTGCTTCACCTCCAGGCATTGCCAACTCTAAGCAAAGCTGGAGAGAATATATATGTGTCCTTACTGTTGCCATGTGTGTGATGATTCCTCAATAACCTTCTCAATAGCATGTCTGTAGACAACTGCATGTACATTGGGATGAATTTAAGAGACTGTGTCATTGCTGTGATTGACTGAGGGATAAAAGACCTTAGCCCTAAACAGGAATGTATCAAAGTGGGAGAATATCGTTTAGTTCAAGATGACCAAGGTTCCTCCTTAAATCACCCACTGATGTGTCTTCTATGCTTTACCACCAGCATCTGATATCAAGTGAACAAGGTCAAGCTGAGGAAAGAAGAGGTATCTAAATATGAGTGACATACATAAGCCGTCCGTAAAGAATGAAGTTCCTGAGAGTCAGTGAATATATGGTAACCAGTTTAAATGACAAAACAGTGGCACTGAATGTGTTTGATGGTTTCATTGATTGTGGGGAGAACTGGTTTTATTGTCTGGGGAAAGTAGAATTTTCTAAATAAGACATCCCACTGTATATCATAGAAGAATCAAGTGTAAAAGTACGAATAAAGTTTCTATAATTCAAGCCTACTATAATGAAAAATAGTATTGGCAATGGTATTGCCTAATTTAAATGTTTATTACAGATTGACAGAAGTTTGGCAATGGTATTGCCTAATTTAAATGTTTATTACAGATTGACAGAAGTTAAAACATAAACATAACTTTTGCGTTTTCAGTAATAAAAATTATATCCTACATATTTCAGGAAGCTAGTCATGTGCTGTCAAAAATATTAGAGATTCCACTTTAAATGAAACTATACTTCCTACAAAATCCATCATGATACTAACTGGTAGAGTTTAAAAATCACTTAGAAATTTCAGGTATTGCTACCAGATTCTCAGGCAGGTACTGAGCTTTTCAGATAAGACAGGAATTTATAAAGCAAAATTGCATTTTTCTTGTGAAGTTACTAGTTTCTCAATTCCAATTTTAAAAGTTATGCCAAAGAAAGGATCATTTTGTAGAGATAAAGTCAAGATGAAAATGTTGGGTTTTGCTATATAGAAGAGTTTAGAGATAATGATATCTCTTTAGTATGAAAACCCTTTAGACTGCCATAATATTATATCAGGATTTTTTTTTTAAATAGGCAACTAGTGAAAAGGTCATAAAAGAAGAAATCAGGAGACTTGTGTTCTTGATCTAGATGTGCCACTATCTTTTCTGGGCCGTATCTCAAACTGCTTTATCTTTCAAATGAAATAACTAAAAAAAAGATACATTTACCACATGGATCTGAAATGTAATGCTTCCGTGCTAGTTCGTCACATTTATGTATATGTAAAGCCTGCAGGTTTTAGTTTCATTGCTTCTAACCAGTATTCCTTTAAACTGTGTAGGCAGAAGATCAATGAAACACAGATGAAAGATACAGAATGGTGCTGTTTGTCCCTGATATGGAACATCAGAAGAATTCAAATTAGATGAATGCTCTCTAAAGACCTCTATGTATGGATACACAGACAGACAAACACACACACACACACACACACACACACATTGGTCTCATCTGCCTACCATAAAAATGACTGCAGCCCAAAATACCAATATGAAAAGGAAGGTTTGCAGCAAGACCAGCCACCTAGCGGCCCTGAGGCATGGCTGGGGAGGCAGGAGTTATTGAGGCTCTCAGGTCATGATAGGAAAGGATGTTAATAAAACCTTTTCCTGTTTACTTGTAAGTACTGTATGCTTTTGAGCTGTGCTATCCAAACTCCAGACACAGGTGCAGTTGTTTCAGGACAAGTGCAGTTGCATCTCTTCCAGACAACACTTCTCTGTTTTAGAGGATATTTCTTTCTTTTTAAAGGCTCAAAAAGTACCCATGAATTTGAATGTGATGTTTACAAGTCACTGCTTACAAAGTAATATGAAGACCAGCAATAAGGAAAAGCTTTAAGGAATAACTTAGATCTAAGTAGTACTTGCTATTTTTTTAAATTTCATATATTGATTTTTCCTTTCAAGAAAATGCAGGTGTGACTTTTAAAGATTTATCTAACCCCAACATGTCATGATTAAAAGGAAGCTAACTTTTAAAAAGCTACAAGTTGTTCTTGAAAACAGGAAACAAATACACTAATAAACATGTAATCATTTTCAATAAAAAAAAAAGAAAATGCCGGTGGAATATACTTAATCATTTCCTTTAGTTTCTTTTCTTAACATGTTGGCAATCCACAGGGACAAATTTTACTACATAATATGGTTCTATCAAAAGATTCCATTTTCCAAACTAATGTAACTGTAAGCCCAAACTCTCCTTAGATTTTTATAATTTTCTTAGGCAGGGGAAGCTGAATGACACAGTTTAAGGTCACATTGCAGTGTATTTTTCTGGTTTTGGGATTTGGGGAAATAGACCTGAGTAGTAAGCAGCCATTAGAAATAAAGCAGTTATATTAGAATCAGAAAGTAAATTGGGTGTGACAAACAGGACAGTTGGTACATGTCAGGATGCCCTTTCATGCCCTGAACATTTCAGTCACACTCCAATTGTGTCAATAGTGTTGTTTCTGAGGGGGTGTATGCATGTGTGAGCAGTATGAGTCATGGTGGTATATGGGTGAATAAACACACACAAACACAAACATGTTTTGTGGATGATGAACAACCGACAGGATTGAAAGAAGTAAATAAAATTGATTTACTTGGTGGGGATAGCGACCATGTTTCAACATATTTTGTCTCCTACCCACATATTTGCATTTAAATGTATTATTGAAGAGATAAATGGACAGAATGGGAATGAATGAGTAAAAGGAGAATGTCAATTAAAAGAGCTAACTTACACGTATCCATCCAGAGATTTCGGGATGGCAAGAATAGGAGCTAAAAATAAAATTTCACTTCATCTGAGCCTTATTATATTCTAGACTTGCATGAATGACTAGAGAATATTGATGTCATGGGTTACTTCTGTCTCATAACACAAAGGCATTAACATAATAATCTACTATATGGCACTCTTTGTACACTGCAGCTTAGACTGGTAATCAGGAAAAATTTAAAGACTAATAATTTGTTAAGCATAATACCATATGGAATATAAAATTCTACAGATTTTATAAAAATGATGAAATACTCCAGATTGATGTCTGTTCTAGATCATAATGATGTTCAGAGAATCTTAGTTTTATTAAAAAAAAATCTGAATACCCAGAGGACAGTTTTTCCTCAGAAAAAATTAAAGTAAAATTTGAAGAACTGTATTTGCATTACTGGAGATTAAGTTACATGAGTAGTCAGGCTATATGTATTTTCAGATGACACTTTAATGGCAGTGTGAACTTTATCAAGTTACTGAATTTCTCTGAACCTATTTCCTCTTCTGCTAAATAAAGAAGCCAAGCACGTGTCTGGGGCCGGCTGTCTGGCCATCAGTACAGGTCTGCGGTCACGATGAGGTTCCAAGTCTCAGTAGCTCTGCTCGCCCAGGGACAGTGATCTGGTCCCTGGCACATAGTGCGGGGGAGAAAGAAATGGGAGAAAGGAAGGGTCCTGCTCTTCCAGCCCCTTAAAAGATCATCTCAGCTACTGTCAACTTGACCCAACATTTAAGTTAAAAAAATGTAAGTAAACAAAGGAGGGAAGGGAAAAGACCAGAAGTCGCTCTCAGCAGGAGCACAGGCCCTGCCTGGATCCCAGGCTCGACCTCACTTCAGAGACGAGATTCAAAGATTCGTACCAGAGTTTCCATAGCAGCCTAGACTGCCTGATCCTAGCTGGGTGTGCAGCTGAGCTGTGGACTGCAGGGAACTGGAGGGGGCTCGGGCCTCTGCACATGCTCCTTTGCAGCCTCTCAGCCTCTCGGCCTCCCTGCTATGTATCCTGGGGCACCACCTACATGAGCTTCTGACACAGGATGGTCATGAAGAAGATGCCCTGGAGAATCCACTTGGGTTCAATTCCTCAATTCCTTATTCTAAGTGTGGGAGCCAAGCTGCAGTGGGCTGGCCATGTTCCATTCACTTCAACCAGTAAATCATAAAATCATAATAACAAACTGATGTCTCCTTGTTCAAAACACAGCCAACTGTGTTATCACCTCTTCTCACCCCTACCTGTCCATACCCACTGTGTGGAGTCTCATAGGGTACAGAAGAAAGGAAACTGAGAAAAAGAGAAACAGGGAAGAAGGATTGAAGGGGAATAGGTGAAGAGGAAAATCAGATTCCAGGACAGCCTCCTTCATGACACTTCACCTGCTCAGCTTGGAGTAAGCACTCCGAGCCTAAATGACACGCTGCAGGGATTGAAGGTTACACAAGGACTGAAATGTCAATTCAGGAGTCATTACCTATCTGTACCCCATGGCTCCACTTCCCCACAGTGAGATGGACTGGCTCACCAGACCCTGAACTGTCACTATAATGTAGTGAGTTTGAATTTTTCAACCCCAGTCCAAAATCAGGGTCAACATCAGATCACGGATTTCACAAGACAGCGAATACCCATGGGAAAAAAGGGCTCCATATTAGCAAGTCACACACTTACAATTCTTACATATAGCCTGTTATGTATCTCCCTTATTTTCTTATTTTAAATTGTGTCAATTCACGTTTATCTCAAAGGCAACCTTAAAATGACATTGTCACACCAGTTAGAATGGCAATCATCAAAAAATCTGGAGACAACAGATGCTGGAGAGGATACGGAGAAATAGGAACACTTTTACACGTTGGTGGGAGTGTAAATTAGTTCAACCATTGTGGAAGACAGTGTGGCGATTCCTCAAGGATCTAGAGACAGAAATTCCATTTGACCCAGCAATTCCATTACTGGGTATATATCCAAAGGATTATAAATTGTTCTATTATGAAGACACGTGCACATGTGTGTTCATTGCAATACTGTGTACAATAGCAAAGACCTGGAACCAACCCAAATGCCCATCAATGATAGACTGAATACAGAAAATGTGGCACATATACAACATAGAATACTATGCAGCCATGAAAAAGGATGAGTTCATGTCCTTTGTAGGGACATGGATGAATCTGGAAACCATCACTCTCAACAAACTGACACAAGAACAGAAAACCAAACACTGAATGTTCTCACTCATAGGCGGGTATTGAACAATGAGAACACATGGGCACACGGAGGGGAAACATCACACACTGGGGTCTGTTGGGGAGGGACAGCGGGGGTTGGGGAGGTTGGGGAGTGATAACATTGGGAGAAATGCCTGATGTAGGTGACGGGGCGATGGATGCAGCAAACCACCATGGCATGTGTATACCTATGCAGCAACCTATGCAGCCTGCAAGAGCTGCACATACATGTACCCAGAACTTACAGTACCATGAAGAAAAGACACTGTCAATAGCATTTCCTAAATTCCAGCAGAGTCTTAACTACCAACTCTGCTTACAACTTGAAATTCTCTTGCTTTAGGTCTGACTCTGCCTCACATATCAAACAGGCTGGAGAAAAATAGAAACTTTGGCTTACCCTTTGTCTTCTATGTTGGAACAAACTTGACAACTACTTTCCATATTCCCTATTTCAGTAAATGGCACGAACATTTTCCCAAACACTCAGACTAGAAATCTGGTGACTACAGCACTCTACTGCCTAAAACCATCGTTAGCTCCTCATTGCCTTTAGAATAAAACCCAGGTCTGTAGGACTGTAGAAAGCCCTCAAGTTCTTATTTCTCCACCAACTTTACCTTTTACCAAATCCTTCCTTACTTGTGCATTCTGATAATTTCAAACAGAGTCTGGTCCCATGCACACATTCCGTCCCTTTGTTCCTTCTGTTAGGAATGGCCTCCTCATCTTTCTATACCTACAGGCCGATTTTTTAGGATCAAACCCATGCACAGGTCAGGCACAGAGGCTCATGCAAGTAATCTCAGCATTTTGGGAGGCCAAGTCAGGCAGATCATGAGGTCAGGAGTTCAAGACCAGCCTGGCCAGCATGGTGAAACCCCATCTATACTAAAAACACAAAAATTAGCCAGGCACGGTGGCATGCGCCTGTAATCCCAGCTACTCAGGAGGCTGAGGAAGGAGACCCTGGGAGGTGGAGGTGGCAGTGAGCCGAGATCATGCCACTGCACTCCAGCCTGGGCAACAGAGCAAAACTCCATCTCAAAACAAAAAAAAAACCACGAGTATTACGATCCAATCGCCTCATGCAGTGCATAAGGCCTACATCACCACCACTGTGAAGAGCCACATCACCCTAATTAAAATGTCCAATAGACCTCTCCCCAGCGTTCTCATCATGTGTTTGGCACACAGAGGCCACTCACTAGTTGTGAGCTCTTTTATTTCCACCGTATTGGTAGCGATGATAATGAAGAACATGAGCATGTATAATGAATAATAGAAAAAATAACCTCAAGAGAATAGTGTTCACAAAATGTTTGGGAAATCCTCTGGAGCACAAGAGATGATCAGAAGAGGGAAATCCTTCTGCAATGGGAATTTTTAGCAGCAGGCTTTCCCCAGTCTGTCTGGAGAAGCCTTTGAAGTTGCACAGTCATAATTAAATGGGGCAGCTCTTTTATCTCCCTTTGCTGGCAAACTTTCAGGAGACCAGAGGAGTTTCTATCCATCTGCATGCGCCAATCAGGCAGTCAAGCTTAACAAGATGTATATGCGTGTGTCTCTTCTTTATGGATTATCAAATAGAACTGGACTAAAAATTTATAACTCCGTTTTTGCTAAATGGTACCTTTCAGATAGATTTATCACTGCTCTCTTTTTCTTTGTCCTATTACATTATGCAACTTATGCATTGCATTTAGATTGCAAACTCCATGAAGTCAAATATCATGCTTGTCTCCTTCACTGGGTAGAACCAGGAGCCCAGATGTCACTCAGTCCCTAACAGACAGTATCCGCTCCATAGTGTTTACAGTCAGATTTATTTATTTATTTTTTATTTTTTGAGACAGAATCTTGCTCTGTCGCCCAGGCTGCAGTGCAAGGGCACAATCTCCGCTCAGTGCAACCTCTGCCTCCCAGGTTTAAGTGATTCTCCTGCCTCAGCCTCCTGAGTAGCTGGGATTACAGGTGCACACCACCATGCCTTGCGAATTTTTGTATTTTTAGTAGAGACAGGGTTTCACCATGTTAGTCAGGCTGGTCTCGAACTCCTCACCTTGTGATCCACCTGCCTTGACCTCCAAAAGTGCTGGGATTACAAGCATGAGCCACCATGCCCAGCACAGTCAAAAATTTTTGAATCTACTAATTGATATTCAATTATAGACTATACTGCAGAATAAATTTAGTATAAAGACTATCAAAGATTCAATGCACAAAATAACGCTGCACACTGTATTACCCTGTTTTGTAATAGATTAATATAGCTGTCCTAATGGTAACTGTTCATTGTCAACAGCTCTGCTAGTTTTGCAGTCTGAGTTGAGCTGAGTAGCTCTCTAGAGCTAACGGTTCTCCTGGGTGAGGAATTACACTAATTTTAAAAGAGTGGGTGCACTCTTGTCTCTAGTCTTTGCCAACTTCGTGAATTCTCTGGAGGTTTTCCAAGTTACTAGTGGGAGCACTGCAAATATAACATACTTTAAAATGCACATTCAGTTTCTTTTACAGTGTCTGTGAGAATTAGAAATCTTGAAAACAGGGAAATACATATTTTTTTATTTTTTATTCTTTACTTTTTTGTGGGTATACAGCAGATTTATGTATTTATAGGGTACATGAGATGTTTTGATATAGGCATGCAATGTGAAGTAAGCACATCATGGAGAATGGGGTATCCATCCCCTCTCTTTGTAACATAAAGCATTTATCCTTTGTGTCACAAACAATCCAGTTATTCTCTTTACATTATTTAAAAATGCACAATTAAGTTATTGACTATAGTTACCCTATTGTGCTATCAAATAGTAGGTCTTATTTATTCTTTCTAATTGCTTTTCTTTTATCCATTAACAATCCCCACCTCCCCTTCCAGAAAAATAGGAATTGAAAGAGCCCTTACCTGAACAGAAGTCATCAGAATATCGGTCATAGGCAGCTCTACAGTCCCTTTCGTCACACTCACAGGTGTCCCCATGAATATCTCCCCAGTCCCCAGTTGGATCAACATCGTGGCAGGAACATTCACCACACACACAAGTCCCTGGGTGGGAAGAGGAATTTTGAAAGAATCCAGTCAAGAAAAATCATGAAAGAAAGCATTTCACATATTGCTTATCATTTTCTGTTGCTTACTTTGTACTTGAAAAACACATATATTCGAATAAAAATATTCTAAAACGGAAAAACATCTGATATTGACAGTAGAGATTCCTTAATAAATAAAACAAGTTATGATCCGTGTATATGAATATGTGAGTTGGTGGAATGGGTCATTAGCATTGTGTTAGTTTCCTTCAAAGATAGCACTAGAACAATTTATGTAAGTTATAATCCTTTCCCTCAAGAAGCTTGTAATCTATTTGGCAAAAGGAAAGTGAATTAGAAAGAAAAATGAGCAAACACTAAAAACAACACGCTAACATTTTGGAAACTAAGACCCGGATGCTTTAAGAATTTGGAGGAGAGGATCAAGGATGGTCAGAATAAGAGGATCAATGAGGGTTGGCGTAATTAACAGTGGATGGACTGGATATATAGGGATGAGAGGAAAAGTTCTAGGAGACATTGGAGGCAGAACTAAGGGAAAGTCAAGGAAACAAGACTAAGCAAAGAAGGGTGGGGATGGGCATAGGGTCCCTGAAGTGCATGTTAAAAAAAAGATTAAAGGGCCAGGCGCGGTGGCTCAAGCCTGTAATCCCAGTACTTTGGGAGACTGAGGCGGGTGGATCACGAGGTCAACAGATCAAGACCATCCTGGTCAAAATGGTGAAACCCCGTCTCTACTAAAGATACAAAAAATTAGCTGGGCATGGTGGCGCGTGCCTGTAATCCCAGCTACTCAGGAAGCTGAGGCAGGAGAATTGCCTGAACCCAGGAGACAGAGGTTGCGGTGAGCCTAGATTGCGCCATTGCACTCCAGCCTGGGTAACAGGAGCGAAACTCCGTCTCAAAAAAAAAAAAAGATTAAGAAGTAGGGTTTGCTAGATCAGACGAGCCCAGATTATAGAGGCGATCAGATTGAGAGATACAAACTTGGTCATTTGCAGATTTGCAGAGGGAAATGCTCAACTGTAAATCATATTTACTTTGTGTGGATTATCGGTAACTGTCTTTAGGGCATCCAGCTAAATCCTTTTCTTACCCCTTACATCAAAATAAGTATCCATTGGATTAAAGATTTAAATGTACAAAATAAAACCACAGAATATGAATTAAACTCTTTTTATTCAAAACCACCAAAACAAAATTAGGATTAAAGATTTAAATGTACAAAACAAAACCACAGAATAAAAATTAAACTTTTTATTCAAAACCTCCAAAGCACAATTACTAAAAAAAGAAAATTGAAAACTTCCATAAAAGTTGAAAATTTTTGTTGGAAACAAACACTATAAGAAAAAAAGATTGATAAAGGTGAAATAAGTAGTTAATCTGTTTGTTTCTTGATGTGAGAATTGTTTACCTGGCTGTGTTCAGTTAGTAAAAATCCAAAGAGCTGCATGATTATGTAGACTTTTTTTATTATCACACAATAATTCAATAAATTATTTAAAAAATGTAAAAACAATTTAAAAAGACAACACTTTCTAAAACAGATAAATAAGTCTTAGGATTCAATATATAAAGGATTAGTATTCCCAATCTGAAATAGACAAAAGCAAAGAACAATAGAAAATTTCATACAGAAATTACGATAATCATGAAAAATATTTATCACTCAATTGACTACTACTAGGCGGGTAGCAGTGTGAGATCTTCAAAACAATTGTGATTGGCAATTATTTAGTATGTCAGATTGTCAGAGGTGAAAAATATTGCTTGAATCCAGACTTGGTAAAGGTGTGGAACAATGGGCATTTTCTTGCTCTGAAGTGGAATACGAAATGGTATAACTCTCTGGGTAGTGATTTTACAATATGCACTTTTTTTGTTTTTGTTTTTTTTTGAGACAGAGCCTCGCTCTGTCACCAGGCTGGAGTTCAGTGGCGTGATCTCGGCTCAACTGTAACTTCCGCCGCCCGGGTTAAAGCAATTCTCCTGCCTCAACCTCCTATGTAGCTGAGACTACAGGTGTGCACCACCACGCCCAGCTAATTTTTGTATTTTTTAGTAGAGATGGGGTACTTTTTATATCGGTGTTATTATTTAGCTTTATAGCTCACTTTAATTAACGTACCCAACAGAAAGAAAAAGTACACACAAGTATGTGTTCAGAAATATAAAATATAGTTGTATTTACGTTTTTAAAAAAACTACTAGTGACCAAAATATTGATCAATGGAGAATGAGCGCAGTAATGGTACACACATAGCATGGACTACAATGCAATCACTGAGTAATAATTAGGTTTTTGCTCCATAAACATGAAAAAGCAACATGTATCATGAAATAAAAGTGTAAAATTTACAAATCAGCATGTACTGTATAATTCAATTTTTTTCTTTAATAAGGAGGAAATACAGGGATAGGGCAGTCACACAAGTGAATTTTAATGAATAAATACAGACTGAATGCTCACGTACCAAAGTGTACCTGATGTTAGGCTTATGGGCCATTTTCTTATTTTTCTGTGTACTCTACTTTAGTATCTAGATTTTTGAAAATGGATGTGCATTGCTTTCAGAATAGAATAAATGGGTTTGGTCAGGAGGAAAAGGGACTAGGAGCCATGCAGATATGATAAAGCAGCAGCTTCTCGGCCACGTGTAAAGGGGTCCAATATGAAACTCAGTAACCAGGTGGTCAATGGAGGACATTTGTTCTATTAACGGTTGTGTCTGCAACATTGGTTTTTTTGGCCCTTGAAGGTGGGGATAAAGGATAGGTATTTGTGGGGATCAGTGTCTTTCTGTTACCTAGGGATGCAACAATACAGAAATGCTTTCAGGGAAGACAGGAGTATCACCTTTTAAGAAAAAAAAAATGACTCATCTCAGCACCCACTTCTGCCCTGTCTTCATGTATCCCTGATTCTCAGAAGCTGAGAGCCTCACTTAGGCAAGCCGCTTCTCATTCTGTCTCTGCCAGATCTCCAGGTCAGAATGCTCCAAGTACAGGGAAGTGGGAGGCAGGAGGCTTAGAGTATGTTTCTGAAGGACGCGTCTCCAACAGCCAACATAACTCTGCTGCAGAACCTGATTTAAGCCACAGCCCAACGAATTCCATTTTCCACCTCTCTCTCATTGACAGCTGAATAGTCATTTTCCACAGTACCACAGTTCAAGCTTCATATACTTATAAAAGGTGAGTGTGAACCCTACTACATAAAAAGGACTTATGCAGAAAACACATCCTTATATATGAAAAGAAAGCGTAAGGTAAATTAGAGTGATGTATAGTAAGATTTAGTCCCCATAAAGAGAGGACTTTATGATTTTGCTCCAAGTTCCTGTATTTTTTTAATTTATTTTCTCTATATAAAGAAATGTGGCACATTTTACTTCTCCATGTCAATTTCTAAAAGATGGTATGCTATAGTTATTAAAATGCATCATTCATTTATAGAAATGAAAAAAATGTTTTCCAGCTATCTAGATTTTTATAGTTTTAAAGAAGAAGTATATTCACTTTTTAATTTCACCAAATAGGTAATAAAAAGTTTAGGATGGCTCACTTTATCACTACAGCAAAGGGAAAATTAAGTATCTAAAAGAAACTTTTTTTATAATTTTTTATTGCATTTTAGGTTTGGGGGTACATGTGCAGAACATGAAAGACAGTTGCATAGGTACACACAAGGCAGTGTGTTTTGCTTCCTTTCTCCCCTTCACCCACATTTGGCATTTCTCCCCAGGCTATCCCTCCCCACCTCCCCCTCCCACTGCCCCTCCCCTTTTCCCCCCAATAGACCCCAGTGTTTAGTACTCCCCTCCCTGTGTCCATGTGTTCTCATTTTTCATCACCTGCCTATGAGTGAGAATATGCGGTATTTCATTTTCTGTTCTTGTGTCAGTTTGCTGAGAATGATGTTCTCCAGATTCATCCATGTCCCTACAAACGACACAAACTCATCATTTCTGATTGCTGCATAATATTCCATGGTGTATATGTGCCACATTTTCCCAATCCAGTCTATCATCTATGGGCATCTGGGTTGGTTCCAGGTCTTTGCTATTGTAAACAGTGCTGCAATGAACATTCGTGTGCATGTGTCCTTATAGTAGAATTATTTATAGTCCTTTGGATATATACCCAGTAATGGGATTGCTGGGTCAAATGGAATTTCTATTTCTAAGGCCTTGAGGAATCGCCACACTGTCTTCCACAATGGTTGAACTAATTTACACTCCCACCAACAGTGTAAAAGTGTTCCTTTTTCTCCACATCCTCTCCAGCATCTGTTGTCTCCAGATTTTTTAATGATCGCCATTCTAACTGGCGTGAGATGGTATCTCAATGTGGTTTTGATTTGCATCTCTCTGATGACCAGTGACGATGAGCATTTTTTCATATGATTGTTGGCCTCATATATGTCTTCTTTCGTAAAGTGTCTGTTCATATCCTTTGCCCAATTTTGAATGGGCTTGTTTGTTTTTTTTCTGTAAATCTGTTTGAGTTCTTTGTAAATTCTGGATATCAGCCCTTTGTCAGTTGGGTAAACTGCAAACATTTTTTCCCATTCTGTTGGTTGCCGATTCACTCTAGTGACTGTTTCTTTTGCAGTGCAGAAGCTGTGGAGTTTCATTAGGTCCCATTTGTCTATTTTGGCTTTTGTTGCCAATGCTTTTGGTGTTTTGGTCATGAAGTTCTTGCCTACTCCTATGTCCTGGATGGTTTTGTTTAGATTTCCTTCTAGGGTTTTTATGGTGCCAGGTCTTATGTTTAAGTCTTTAATCCATCTGGAGTTAATTTTAGTGTAAGGTGTCAGGAAAGGGTCCAGTTTCTGCTTTCTGCACATGGCTAGCCAGTTTTCCCAACACCATTTGTTAAACAGGGAATCCTTTCCCCATTGCTTGTTTTTGTCAGGTTTATCAAAGATTGTATGGTTGTAGATATGTTGTGTTGCCTCCGATGCCTCTGTTTTGTTCCATTGGTCTATGT